CGGCCGATAATAATTAGTTATTGATTAACGTATGAGGTATTAATGGAAATATGGCAGTGGTTATGGTCCGCCATACGGGGTTTATGAATCGCATCGACGCACAGACAGATATAGCTCGAATTTTTATATGTTCCATATCGAATTCGGGAATTTTTATACCGTTACATATTACAAATACTCGATGGGTGTACTCAAAAAACATACACTGAGTACACAGTATTCCGGTATTAAACAAATAAATAAATATGTATGCATGTATGTGTATAGCAGAGTAGCTACTCTGTCGAATAGGGAACTAAATTGATTTCCACTGAATTTAATCTGAATTAAATAAACACAATTACAATTTAGAGAAGGATAGAAATTTGAGAAACTTTCTAATTCAACAAGCAAACTACTTATGGGAAAATAGTCAACAAATATACATACATATATCTAGGTGACATATATATGTATGTACACACATATATCTTAACAATGTTTCCACTATACATTAATATAAATTTATACTTTTCACAAATCACATTTAAACTCATAAATACAAATATTCATATGTACATATGTATCAATATAAGTATGTACCAACAATATATTAAAAGGTACAAATATATTTCTATGAGAGCCATTACGTCATAATGCTGAATTCAAGCGGAGGTTGTCTGTAATTTGAACTCATTCTCAATGCTCAGCCGGCAGTCGACAGCCGACAGCCGACAGCTTGCAGCCTGCAGCGGTTTTCTTCTCAACAATTATCCATTGTGAGTTGGCATTGTTGCGTTAATGAAATAACGCTCCTCTACCTTGCTTTCCCATTCCAATATGTCACATTAGTAACTTGACGACGATGGCGACTCAATTTGCAGTCGCAACAGTTACTGATTTTTTAATTTTATTAAATGACAAAAAGACACCTTTACCTTTGAAAAAGCCAGCCCTGTTATTCTTTATGCTGATACATACACGTACATACACATATGCGATTGTATATATTTACATGTACATATGTACATATGTATGTACGAATGCATTTGTGGAGGAAACTTTGGTACTTTGTGATAATAGACGTCTGCGACATTGTAAAAATCGGTGGTTGACTATTGCTCAACTCAGCTGTTGGAACTCCATTTTTCATATTCATCACATTTGTATGAATGGTTGAATGACGTGGGGAGTGGTTAAATCTGCGTCATGACAATGTGGTTCGTCTCAATGGAAACGTGTCATAGAATGCGTTAAATACTCGTTCAATATAAAATTTTCATAGCATACATTTAAGCACACATAGTATGTACATACATACATACATTCATATGTGCACAAAAGTTGCATATTTACAATATTACATTGAAGTATACATATGTCGACATTTATGTGCTTATTCATACGCTCGTACATACTACTTAACTACATACATACACGTATGTAGGTACGTGCCTTTGAATTCATATTTGGAACTACGACATACTTACATATATGTGTACATAAATAAATTTGTTAACCGTTGTAGGCACGCACGCCCAGTTCATAAAGGAATATGCGCAGAAACACCCTGTGAAAAAATCAAAAATTAAGGACCGGAGGTAGAATAGATTGCCGCTGTGAAATCATCGACACAATCACGATGTAATAACATGAATATTGATCTGACCGTATGGCTTCTTTCCATCCACTTTAACTTTCTAATGAATTTAAAAATGTCGCTTCTTTGGCGACTGCAAATAATTCAAAGCCCACTTTTGCTTAGACCAGGACTACCTCATATCAAACGGAAAATCAGAAGCTCCCTCTTAACTTCTGCAGCTTTTGAATATCTTCTAAACAAGGTTCCCACCCTTCCTTAGAAGGACATGTACAGTCAGTGTCATAAAATCAGAGCGGGTACCCAAAGTAGAAAGGCAGAGAGATAATTGTTCTAATGACTGACAATTCCACTGTTTCTGTTCGCTTAAGCGAAGAACTGACAGAGAGTCATGTAAAAAACTTCCTTTTAATCTTCCTAATGTTGATATCGGTTCAGTTTCAGGCCACCATACTGTAAGGTTATCCGTTTCGTAGTTGAAAACACCTGTCAAAGATAACTGTCAAACGAAACATGTTTTGTTTTAATTAAAAATCAGGCATTTAAGAAAATGATTCCCATAAAGACCGCACAACTACACTTCTACAAAAAAGGTGATTATATTTGCTTCTGTAAGTGACTCTAGCTGCTGAAAGACCGAATGTATCTATCGCCTTTCTCCAGAGCTGAAACTTTCCAGGAACTTTCTCACGACGCTTTCTGAAGTATTTTTTGCAAGGACTTACTCCTACACCCATATAAGGCCCAGGTCACACAACAACTGAAGCCGGCTAACCATTCTCAATTGTTAGTCGATTGAGTGCTCGTAGAAAATTGTTTTCAGCGACGAGGAAAATTTCTCAATCCGAGAACTCTCAAATAATTGAAGAAGGCCATTAAACCCAAACCTATTACTGTCTGGTGCGCTCTTTGGTCCGGACGTTCTTTGAAGTGAGACTGCGAGACTGTCACTGGAAGGCGGAATGTAGAACACAACTTGGATAATTTGCGGCTTCGACAAGATGGTGCCACATTCCGAACAACAAAAGCTTTATTGCGAGAGAAATAGGCTGGCCGCCTAATCTCTCGTCTTGGCGATGTCAATTGACTGACCTGTGATATCGTGGCCACTTTTTTTGTGTGGGGCCACCGTCCCATTGGAGCCTAAAGTGATCGAAAATAGTTTCTCAGAAATAGGCCATTAGAACTATTTTTTTTAGAATAGGTACCCGTGGAATAACACATTGGCTCTCTATGCAACCGATTTATACAAAAATGAGAAATAATATTTAATCCTAAAATGAAATACCACAAATTCTATGTAGTCACGAAAGGTATAAATATTTCGGAATTGTTCTTCTTTCTTGTTTAAATTAATTTTGAATAAATGTCTCACCAGGGTTTCAGCCGGGCTACTTATGTAAGTAATCTGTCTGTGTTACAAACGAGTCATACTTATTCGCCTGTGTTGTTGTTGGCAGAATAACAGGTGACATATTTAATAGTATATTGAGACTACGCTAATTTCATAAGTCCTGGAAGCTTTCGGATATTATTATGATCCCCAAACCCGAGTTACATCTTTGGCGGGCTCCTACGGGCCTATTAGCTTAATTACGGTATTCTCAAAAATCTTCGAAACACTTTTATTAAAAAAATATTACCGATTTTAGAATCAAAACAGCCACCAATTCGGTTTTAGAGAAAAACACATCAAGATAGAGCAGGTGCATAGAATCGTAGCACACATAAGATCAGCATTTGAAAACAAGAAATATTGTACTGCAATGTTCCTTGGTGTTGTTCTGGCCTTTTAAAGATTGGTTAGATGGTCTATTATACAAGCTGAAAGGTACGCTTCCCGTAAAAATTTATAATGTCTTAGAAAGCTTTACTTTTGGCAGAAAATTTCGTGTTAGGCAAAAAAGTTGCACGACTGAATCCTATGAAATATTGGCTAGTGTTCCACAAGGAAGTGTTTTAGGACCCGCTTTGTATTTAATTTATACGAACGATCTCCCGATCCAATCAAACCCCATGGCAGCCAGTTACAGATTACAAGAACATTTAAAAGTAATAGAAGAGTCGCTAACAACTTGGAGAATTAAAGTCAATGAGTCCAAGTGTATACAAGTAACATTTACCGTTCAATCTCTATAAATGGTAATACAATACCTCAGAAAAAATTCGTTTCCTACCTGGGAGTTACATTGGATAAAAGACTCATCTGGAAAAACCACACAGACAAAAAGATTACTCAAACGAAAGTGCGAAAATTGCGAACTTGCATTGGATTGTAGGCTCTAAGTCCAAACTGAGTTTTAATTTTTCATATGCTTATAAAACCATCTTGAACGTACGGGGCTCAGCATCTAAACCTAGCATGGTTAGAATTCAAAGACTGCAGTCTAAAACCTTAAGATCAATATGCAAAGCCCCTTGGAATGTAATAAACTCCACAATTCACAACGATCTCGGTATTAAAACCGTCACCGAGGAAATAGGGTAACTGCTTAAAAATTACTCATTAAAGTTATCTAACCACCCAAACTTTCTAGCTAAAAAATTATTAAGGCAGAACTACCCTAAGCGATTAAAGCGAAAGGATTTACGTTTGAACTGTGACTAAGGTCTCTGCCACATCCAATTATTCTACATTGAAGCTGTACTCCGCATATCCTTCATGATATTATAATTTACTTCTATACTTACTTTCTGATAAATCTTTTGTTAAGTTTCAAAAATGAATGTTTGGTATCCCTAATGATATCTATATAAACACTTTCTTTGATAAATCTAAGTTATAGTCGTAATTTATTGCTTACTTTGTTAATCTATACAGTGGTAAAGATTAACTTATAATAAATAATAATTAGTTTTAAGATTTTCCAAATTATTTTAGTTTCCAAAAAGGAAAGATTCAGTAAAACATTATATAAAAAAAAATTGTTGTTGTGGTCTCGGAAGAATTCTTCAATAGAGGTTGTGTACTTTTGCCAGCGAATATTCCAATCCCCGAAACTCCTTAAATCCGATCTTCAGTTCTTTCAACGATGCTTTTTTAATGCCATCTACAACCTTAAAACCAGCCATAAAGTTTGGTGCAGTTTCTGGCTCATATGGGAGCTGTGGTATCGAAAACATTTTTATATTGGAAGAAAAATTCCCAAACACGCTATGAAGTGTGGGCAGGTTCGTTAGAAAAACGTCAGACGAAGTCAACAGCAGCCGAAAGTGGTATCTGCAATATAGAGGTAAGAATTTCAGCATAAGGAACAAAATTTTGACATTCGGTCTCAACTTTGCGATATCAGAAAAATAATCGTAGTTTTTTTTTTAAATGTATATATCGTATTTTTTGAACACACCTCGTACATTCATACGTGCCTTTACACATATGTATGTACACATACACTCGTATGTACATGTAGAAGTGCTCCACTCTTTCCAACAACCAACAACTACGCACATAAAGTGTCATTTAATAATCACATATTCATGTACAAAGTATGAGCATACAATACATATGTACATACATAAGTATATCAACATGTATGCAATGCGTCGGAGTTGCGGAAAGTCAACCATCCCTTCATTGCGAGTTATAACGTGTAAATTCGCCGTACACACTGGTACATACGCGTACATCCCTGACATCAGCCTACCAGAGCCCAGAATTGTAGCACTGCCGATGAAAACTAATAATGGCGCAGTAATAACTGATTTCTTCTCAATTGAATTCGTTAGTGATAAATTCGCAAATGTCACATTTGTTGGGGGACAATTATGCATGTCTGCTGATTGTCGGTGTTGTTGTCTGCGAACATCGTTAATTGGTGGATACAATAGCCCCAATAATCGTTGTGGTCGTTAAAAAATACTTATGATTAATACAGGTTTGTATACAGACATATAGACATATGTGCAAACTAGACAAGGAAATGTCAAAATGGCATATTTATTGGCGCTTATTAACCGCTGAAACAATTTTCGGTCGAGTTTCTCCTCCAAATCGTGCGTTCACATTCCCTGCCGAGTGGCAATAACTTAATTTTTTTATTTAAATCAATTCGCAATAATTCTTAATGGTCACCGGTCAGAACTCGGCCCCGGAACTTCCGCGTGGTAGCACGTACTGCGTACCACTCCGCTTTTACGGCCGCCAAAAATCGAATCATTACTGAGGACAAATAATTTTGAATAAAAACTATTTATGTACTTTATAATGGTATTTACTGCACTTACGATGTTTTTGATATTTGAAGCAAAAGTCATCGCATTTGAAACCGTAATAGGGTATTAATAATTTTTGAAATTAAAAAATTTTTGTTATCAAATTAAATATGTACATATGTACATGTAATGTCTGCTTACAAATGGTAGCAAAAAAGCTCACCTTCAAAATTCCTCAGTCCTACGGAGGTGGCTTAGAGTTTGCTGGAAAATCATCAACACGTCTTACCAGGAGAAAGCTCTGTAATTGACGGAATAAAAGGTCAATTCCTCATGTACATAGGTATGGAAAAATATTGTAATATGGAAATAACACATGCCGTCTCACTCGTAATTAGGCTTTGGCTTGAACGAAAGTGATAATTTTTAGTGGTTTCAAGCAGGAGAATAATTCACAAATTTCATATATATTTGATTATTTATTTTTTGGAATGACGGTAAATGTGTTCTTAGTCAAAAATGCGTATTAATCTTGGTAATTTTTTGGCCGAAAACACTCTGTAATCATACCTGCGGCTTCGTATTCTCTCGTTTCTTTCGGCATTTTGTGCCTCTTTAGGAGACACAAATCGAATAGTTGAAAAAGCTCAAGAAAGAAAGAAAGAAGAAAAATTCTAACATAACTCCTTCGAGGGTTAAAAAACGCCTGTGCAAGTTATTATACTGTAAGATGGGTAATACTTAAAGGGAACCGAATGTGAACTGATAAAAAATAGGTTTATTTATTTATAGAGGGTTTGCTAGTAAGAGGTTTTATTTTGAATAGCCTGATATTCCGGTAGATGTCACTTTTGAAGCTGCAATTTTTTGGAATTTAAAAAACAAAGTCAGTAATAAAAACGGAACGATGAACGCATTGAAATTTTAAAAATTCACTTTTAAAAGTTTCATGGAAAAACCATTTTGACTGATGAGACCCAATTCCTCCTCAATGACTACATTAATAAGAAAAACTGTAGCAAAACACAAGATTTTTTGCTGAAAGTCCCCTCCATCCTCAACGTATAACTGCCTGGTGCGGTTTATGGTACGGAGGGGTCATTGGACCTTACTTTTTCGAAAATGAATGGATTGCGCTATCGAGAGATGGTTAATTATTTTTCATGACAGGAGGGAGTTTTTTGCGTTTTATTGTATTTTCGAAATAGGCTTTGTTATTTCACTTTGAGAGAAAGTCCGTACAAAGTGTTGGAATTATTTTTTATTTGAACAAGATGAATATTCGGAAAGCAACAAGCGCTCATGGTGTTCCAAAGTCAACAATTCTAGATCTAGTTAAATGGAAAGGTTGCTTTACTTTGTGTCCACAATCATTTTTGACTAATTTTTGACAAAGAAGAAAGTAGCAGATATAATTGAATGGATAATAAATACGCGCAAATGTGGGTTTCCTTCAAAACAAGACGAGCAATTCGAAGATGTCAGGCCCGGTCGAAAGTGGATTTTAATATCTACGAGGAAATTTTTTAGGACCCAACTCGTATTTTTAACGGCGCTATAAACTCGACAAAGATTATAACCTCAAACCTGTTCCCCTCAGGGGAAAATCAAAACGAAATTTATCCTACTGAAATACCAAATTGTTTAACAGAAGCTCCCGACAATGAAGCGAACAGAAGACCGCAGCCAATTGATAATACACTTCTACAAGTTTCGTTAATTGGAACTACTTTAGATAGTTTGGAGATATCATCAGATATGTTTGTTGTTAGCGAACACGAAATACTGGAGCCAGCCAATGATAATGAGAAATCCAGAAATGCTTCTACAGTTGCTGATTTCTCCCGTATCCCAAATGTTTCTAGTGCCTTTAACTCAACTCCTATTGATGGGGAAAAGACTCAGCAATTAAGTCGCCCAAGGTTATATCATCAAAAGCATGGAGAGATATATATACAGCAAAAGTACAGGAACAAATTAGAATACCCAAAACCAAGTCAAAAGAATCTAACGTAAAAGAAGTGTGGCAAACTTGTTATGAAGAACCTACGAGCGTCGTGAATGCCGATTATTTGAAAAATAGTCGTTGTGACCAGTCTCGCCTGCACTTCATTAAGTGGTCTTTCTATGCCGAAGAGTCCCAAAATGAAATTATTTGCATATCGTGTGTTCAATGATATTGCTTTTTCATTATTTATAAGAATGTTTTTTTTTTAAATTAAGACCGCTTATAATTATGTACATATGTACCACATATGGGTTTTATTTAAGTACATTGAAATTAATGAAGCTAAAAAAAGTTCAATTTTTTTTTAATATGAAATGAAAATAAAAATAACGTTATAAATATTTACAATTATTTCAACTTCCGATATATGTGTCCGCTTATAGCATCTTTACTGTTCGGTTTCTGGAAAAACTGTACGGTTACTGGCAAATTGTGACTTGCATTAAAATAATCAAAATCAAAATAAAAAATCAAATTACGAATTTTATAAGATCCAACATTGGCCAAGATATTTTTGAATTCATGTATTTTTTATATCACTAATAGAACGTAACCTAGAGGAGGCACCTCCATCAAACATACACAGAAGTCATGATGCACAAGTAAATGAATGCGGGATTGATTTTTATGTAAGTGTTTCGATTCCTTGAAGAACGGCGGTGGGTGGAATCGAAATATAACATTTTATATGCTGGGCTTTGATAACACCGAGACAACCGATTGAGATGAGGCGGAAAACCTATTATCATCACGAGCCCTTGGAGCTTTCTTCTATTTGGTTTAAGGACAAAGTTAAAATATTGTTGCTTTTCGCACTAAATTCGATGTTTTTTTAATCAAAACTAGACATTTTTATAGATTTCCTGTTTGATATGTTTTTTTTTTCAACAAAACGGTGAAATATAAAAAATCTTTGTGAGCAGAAATGATAGAAAATTATGTTAGGTGTAGGCGACATGCAAAAGTATGTTTGCGAAGAAAATATGAGGCTACTCTTACCCTCAATATTATTTCAAATATTTGACTATTTTTCAGGCTGGAATCGAAAATACCTGCTAGTGCTTCCCATTAATTTATTACCTCATTTTAAAAAAGTAGTACCAAATTAAACAATAACTAATTATCAAGGGAAAATTTGAAATTATTTTGAGAAAACCCAAATTAGCGCAAAAGATATTTTTTAATTTGTACAGAGTATTGAAATGTTCTAATAAATTTCTAGATATTAACGTATTAAGCAAATTCATATTTACTTGAAAAATTTAGTTCGTGAAATAAAGAAAAATATACGAGTACATACACACACGCATATCTATGTAGGTATATACTCGTATGTACATAAGCGAGTGGTTAGCAGTAAGAAATATCACACCGAAGGTCATGGACTCGAAATCCTCTGGCCGGATCAACTAACGAAAATTTTATAAAATTTATTCAAGGAATTGGTTTCTCTAATCGCAGTCGCCCTTAGCAGGGAATATCTCCCCCGAATGTATTTCTGACACGAAATAAGAAAAGTCGATAGGGAAAAAGTTCTTTCCATTGGTTATGGGGAAAAAATCATTTTTAGAAAAATTTAAAATTTTATTTTTGAATCAATAATTTTGACTTATTAATTTTAATGCACTTAAACAAAAAAACTTAAAAATTTTACTTCAAATAGCATAGCGTTTTTTAAATAATAATAGATAATAAACATACATATGTATTGGGTGTATGCATTAATTCGTGCGGTTTTCTAAGAGTGGGCTCTACTAGTATTATTTCGCGTCGTGTTCATCTGTGGCTGTATTCATTTCAAACAACAGTTTGTTTCATTCATTTGAAAATGTCAAAATTTGTACCAGATAAAGTGTTTTTGCGGGGAGTTCTTCTTCCATACTTTAACATGAAGAAAAGTGCTACCGAAATCCATCGTATTTTACTGGACGTTTATGGTGACCATGCTTTAGCCGAACGAACGTGCCAAAAGTGGTTTGGGCGGTTTAAAAATGGCAATTTGGACTTAGACGACGGACAGCCAAACAAAAAATTCAAGACGAAGACCCAAGAAGAACTTGCAAAAGTATTAGGAGTTGATCAAGCAACCGTTTCCAGACGATTAAAATCATTTTTTCACAATAAAGTCTTAATTTTCGAAAAAAAAAACCGCACGAATTAATGCATACACCCAATATGTACATATGTATGTATAGAACTAAATTTGTACGATTCACAAGTTTTCTACTCTTAAAGAATTTAAACATGAATAAAGACAAAAAGCAATAAAAAAACAGCAGAATATGTATCAACATTGATATATGATAAATTACAAAAAGACGCTTCTGTTTCGTCGGGCGTTAGCTATCACTATATCAAAACTTTGGAGTGGTAACCATATGCCAAGCAACAATGGTTGTTTCAAATTTACGAATCCGCTTTTAACATACAAACATTTGATTGCACATTCCTACATACACTACATTTGTACATATTTGTCTACTACAAATGCAATACTTATTTGCCCTATTTGTTGCCTTGTATAGGAGCTCTTTATTCATTGTATCACATTGAGTTGCATAAACAGCCCTGCTGTTGTCCCACTCGCTCTTCTAACAAACTTTTTAGAGTGAGAGAGCTGAATGACTGCAATTGAGTGGATAAGGCGTTTCTTAAAAGAACACACCCCTTTTGAAAATTATGAATATACGGTGCTATTCACTTGGACAAGATACAATCAATTAAGTATATTACATACATACATACACGTATATGCACAAGCGAGTCATACAAATAAATAAGAATACAATTCAGTAAACACATATGGATGAAATAATAAATATCGTATTGCTATTATACCAGCAGACTTTTATCTATGTAATAATACATACATCTCATACATATACTTGTAGATGATAGATACACTTGTATGCAGGTATATCATATATGTACATATACACACATTTATGCATATCTAGCATTCATACATATTAAATATATTATATGAGCAGCTTTGTGACTGTAAGAACATACATTTATTTATGTATATATGTGTATATGTGTATATACATACATATTTAAATAGCTGTGCTGCGATGTTGCTACCGCTGCTGTTGACATTTTGAATAAATTTTAATTGAATTCGCACAATGAAACTGTTTACTTAACTTGCCACTTTGTGCACTGAGCTGATGATCAACGAATATGTGTGTATATAAATATGCGCATATGTATTTACATATACACATAAGTGTTTACCCAAGCACCTACACACATACGTATCAAAGTATATACAGCAGCTCACAAAAGTATTT